TTACACAGCGAATTCTATAGAAATTGGAAGCTGATGGATTAGATGTGCAAAATTATAACAAGTTATCGAAAACGCTGGAGAGAGGAGGCGCCACTATGAAGTTTTTGCCCCGGTTCAAAAAAAAATCGTAGATACGGGGCTGGTAAGACCGTGCACTATAAAGGCTATAATAAACTGTAATAACACAAAAAGAAAAAATACGTTCTTCTATTTCACACGAGTCAAATGCAACACTTACATATGATAATTCTATTCTATTGTAATAATCATATATAATCAAATCACGGACTGATCTTAACATCGTAATAGTGAGGTTCAAACTGTCAATTTACCTACACAAGGTTAATGTTCACCCAAATCATTTTTTCTCATGTTAATGTATCTGAATTATAGACTACTATAATCGATTTAGTATGTGCGTACTTCGCTTCACCTTTATAATTATAAACGTGTTGAATAAATATAAAAATGAGGTATCATGATTTTTTGTATGGTATAAAACTTTACTTCACTGCTAGCCGTATGGGGAATACCACCGAAAAAGTAGAGCCACGCTGTTGTGTATTATGATTCCTGTAGCCATTGATTTATATATTACACTAGATTAGTAATAACCGCGCCAAAGCGTTGTCACTGCACATATGGCCGCAGCCATATGCCTCAGTTCAGTGTTCAATGTGACGCCGACAGAGTTGAGCCGCGACAAAAAATGTTTAAATGCGTAGTGAAAGAATGTTATTCAAGGTCACAAAAACGTAATAAATCAAGCGGAATTACTTTCAACACATAATTTTTAGTTCTTGTTTTCATATAAACGTAAAAAAACTCAAATAATTAAATAAAATTATCGAATATTGCGATTTAGATTAAATGTTTTCACTTTTCCGCGTTTGTGATTATCCTACATTAATGGGAGACTATATAATTAATGGAGTAAGTTAATTTGTTACCTCTGATTTTAAATATTTTTGAAATTATAATATAAACTACGTTTTATCTTTCATACAAAATAATTCATTATTTTTATTTTAGTTTATTAACGAATTATCTATTAAATATATTTTATTACCTACTTATTTTTTATTAATAATTTTATATTAATTATAATTTCATATAAATTTTATATTAGTTATATTTTATTATCTATTTTATATTGTTTGATTTATTAGTAAAATTAAAATACTTAAAAAATATGTTTTATTTCATCATTATGTTTACTTTTATTAATCTGATAAGCTTTGTATCCTTTTTTTCTAAGGGGACGCAATAAAGATTTTAAAATAAAATATACATTTTTAATATAAAACAATTAAATGCAGCATAAAAAAAACTCATTTTTTTCCGTATTTTAGGTAAAATTTCATATTTGTGTGTTGTTGCATGTTTGTGTGTCTATCTTTATCTAATCTCGCGAACGAAAATAGCTACGATATTGTTTTCGCAACTTGTGTAAGTGAGATAGATATATTTTTATTTAAATTTTTTATTAGTTTCAAAGCTACGTCGTCGCGTTTGGATATTGGTTACACTTTTTTCGACGCGCGGTAATGTTGTTTGCTCCTCTAGTGTTGTATAACTCAATGCCTGTAGCCGAGTGGGTGCGCATAACGTACATAATACTACCTTAAATTAGAAGTATGATGCTGCTGTGTTTCTTACGCTGATTGTCCTGAGCAACCTGTATCCATCACTTCCTGCATGTCTTTACTGGTCGTCACTATATCTAGTGGGAGGACGCCCTACTCTTCGCCTGCCGGTAAGAGACTGCCACTCGAGAACCGTTCTTCCTTATATATACCCCTCACGGCGAAATCTTATTAACTTTATAATATTAAATTATTTCTTTGTCAGCTTTTATAGGACTACCTTATAAATATCTATTTATAAGAAAGCGTCAACTGGCTTACATAACTTAAAAACATAATTAGAACTCACTACTCTAGGCCGGCAGGTTGCTATGTTAACATAAAAATGATATCCTCTATCTGGTAATGCTAATCAAGATCACTGGTAATCTCATGAAAGTCAAAATCTAGGAGGTTTTAATTTTGGTAATTCTCAATCGATGTATCGACATTTGCCGGTCGCTTTTGTCAATTGACTGATAATTAGATTGAGATAATTAGAGTGCACAGCGTGATGTTAGGCTTGCGTTCGGAGAATAACTTATCTTTTCAGTTCTGTGACGCAGTAGCTCAGTAATGGGTTGCAGCACTAAGGGAGCCACAGGTTCGGAGCCCCAACAAGTATTTATTTGTTTCGGTTTATTATGTATGTCTTTGTGAATTTTATGTATATCAATTGCACAGAACACAATTAACCGCCATACTACGGGAAGAAATCCTAGAGTGAAGGTAACGGTTAAAAAAATGGTATTGCTTACATCATGTGGGTATGCTTTGAGAAGAATTTTTCTTAATAGACACTTCGCACCTTTGACGTTAGTCCCCGATGCCGGTATGGTTATTTTTCGACCGGTTAGAAAAAGAGAGAAAGAGATGGTAATATCATCACCCATCGAAAGTTATAAAATCTTTCCGACATTTCTCATTGAGCAAAAGGTAGGGCGAGGCGACGATAATAAAATGAAAATGTTTATCCAGTATCCACTTCGTAGTGATTAAATAAGTCAAGACTTACAAAAATGGATGCAATGCAGTCGGCCATTAAAATCAAAGAGGTAAATATATTCATATATGGAGCAAAGGAAATGAGTTGACAGATTAAGTCACTAATCATAAACAAATCATACATAATATTAACAATATTTGATTAAGTAAGATGCCAAAAAGCTTTATGTGTTAGTAAATAAGAGATTAAGTATAACGAATAAGTTTATATAGTTGTTAGTATTTATCCTATTTAAGAATTTTGTTGTACCAGGGCGTCATAATTGCTTCAGCGACAAAGCCCTTTTTTCTAAGAATAAAAAAATATTTGATGAAGTCTCCTACATACTGATATTTAATATTGTCCACCCATAGACGCTTATTACGAGCCCCACGGTAAGAAATAGATTAATGGTTTCCTTTACATCGCCACCACGGTTTTTTTAATGTTTATATTTATAAGGAATTTTTAGAAAAAAATAAAAACATATTTTTAGGTTATTGTGTTTTTTTCTCTAAAAGCAAAGGTGAGAAGCGAGCACACACTCCACCTGGCGACAAGATTAAGCCACAATAATACATACGTAAAGCGTAACTATACCACTACTGACAGACAGGCGGATGGTTAAAAATAATGGCCAATATGTATATCCTGCGTTAATAGCAATATCTAATGTCATATGTGAGTTTGGTGGTTTTACAAAAACCACCAAACTTAAAAATATATATATATATATATATATATATATATATACAATTAGGTGGCAGGTTAGGATAAACTGTGGTGAGGAAATAATTTTCATTAAACATATTTTTAATAAGAGATATGTCGTATATAGATTTACATCATAATAATTATACATTAACTTAAAATTTCCACAATATCCATTCTCATTTCATACGTCCATTCACAAACTATCTGGAAACAGGAAGTATCACTGCATACCAAGTAGCATAACAGTAGATCCTATTTTCCTTTCGATATGTCTTCTCGAGTATATCTTGTTATATTCGAATTGTTAACAAGAAACAAAATATGTTTGCAAAAAAGTGTGAAAGTAAAAGGGAACAACATGAACCGTGAGTTTGAGATCATTTTCCTTCGGGTTTGCGTTCACCAATATAATACAGACAAATACAGAGCATAAAAACCAAGTGAAATCAGGCATTTCTTTCAAAATTATTCGCATTGCTTTGCGAACAATAAGCGCTCACAGAATTAGATATTTTGCACTTTTAGTTCTGTAATGCGTCGCCAGTCTGGAAATTTTAATAATATACAAGATGGCCATATCGTCATATATCTGGGTTTTTGGTCTTATAACTAATTTTTTCATGAATTTATAACAGCCTATCAAAAGTCTACTGCTGAACGTAGACGTTCCCCATCAATAGTCTCAAGGGGTGGGGGGTGGAGGAGGATATAGCCATATTTATCACGCTTGTCGAGCCGGTTAGAAGCCGCAGTTTTTCTATTATTTTGAGCTGTTGTCAGGAAGTTGCTGCTACCCACCTTCTGTTCTATATTTTCCTCTGTCGCCTCTTACGTTACGTAAAGGATGATATGAGGTAGTGTATTCTATTACGCCGCAACTACATGACAATTAGACTCGTAACAAAAGCCATAAAGTAATTTCCTGAGGATCTATCCACTACCTGTGGGCTTCATCGGGTCATCACTTTATATAGTTGAGGATCGCCCAATACTGCGCTTTTTATCACGAAACTGCCACTCGAGAAACTTTCTTCCCCATCCGTCGTAGGTTTTTCGAGCTATATGTCCAACTAATTGCTAATTCTGCTTACTTCATTTTTAAAATGTATTTCACATGATACATCCTTCCGATATTTTTTTTGCTCAGTCGATCAAAAATCAGTTTTTTTCATTGGTGTTCGTGTATTAGGTACGATATTTAAATTTCCTGCATTACGATATCCAAAATTTCCGGTACTGTCATGGCTCTTAGACAAAAAAAAATGTTAATAAAAAGATCTTTGCCAACCACTCTCTATCTGATTTGACTTAGGATCTACATAATATTCACACAGATAAACGGATGACATTGTGTACTATATTCAATTATTTTTATCGAATAGATACTAGCTAAAGGATAGAATAGGAATTGAAAAATTATACATCATATATTAGAATCCGCCTTTCGATTCGGTGTTGCCATGAATCATCTAGCCTCAGATTTTGTTTTATAATTTATCTATCGGATGAGTTAGATGATTTACGACAGGAACGTCGTAAAACAGGAACATTTTAATGTTTATTACGAGTTGCCAGTTTTAATTAAACCCTAAAATTATAATATTACATGTTTATTGCCAATAATGACAAATTTTTTTTTAGAAATATTAAACCAAAATGAGTTTTCATAAACTTACAAAATAAGGTATTTTCGGAAAAGCCGGCAGACGATCGCATGTCACAGGTGACGGACGGTCCATCTCCGCTTGTTTCCCCTCCGAATACGCTACTATAGTCCTCATCGTGGGTAATCCCTCAAAGCCACGTCCCGCATTGGCCGCACGTCTTTCAACCCAACGCATCCCTGAGTGCCACTCATTTACACTGGCGATCCAGCTCACACAAAAAACAGTGACGCCGGCTAGTAAACATTTTGTCACGCGAATATATTTACGCGAGGCACGCATCTTTTGTTTTTAAATCATTTTAATATATTATTATAATTCACTAAATATATTTCGACAATCGAGTACCGTCACGGGAGCAGGTGCGCTCAAGCGCAGTGCGCATGCGCTCCCAGCGCGCTACAAGAACGGACTGCAATGGATCAGCTGGCAGCGTAGCAACATTACGTCCCTACCGGCTAATCATTCTAAACGCTTTCGGACAAGGAAATCTAGATCCTAAATCCCGTTCTTGCTCATGTAATCTTCCGTGCTATGTAATGTAACTGCGGTCTCAAAATAATGGTGAAACCAAGATTATTTCTATGAGGGAAAATTACGTGTACTCGATGTGTAAGTATATTTTGTAAAACACAATCGGACATTTAAAAATAAGTAAAATTTAAAGGAACAAAAACCTTTTCGGTGGTGAAAGAAAACATCGTTAGAAAACCTACACGTCCAAAAATGGTTATTAGTAAAAATGTGTTAACGGTAGCTTTTAGTAACAAGTACTATTTATTCGCTTTACTTCGATTCTCACCTTTTTACTAAAATCAAATAAATTAACTATTTTTTTTTGTTTCATGTGGTCACATTCGGGTGCATGCACACTCTCCTGAAGCACTAAGATAATGTAAGCCATAGGAAGTAAAGTACGCGAATGCGCAATAGAGCAGCTAACCCATCTGAGAAATGAGAATAGACCTGCGCTCAGCGTTAGACGTAAAAAATTTTATTTGAGGTGTTTGTTGGCCCCAATACTAGAATATAATTTGACAGATTCCCTTTCCGGAAAATCGATAGATCAGGGGATAACTACCTACTACACTACCTTCCTACTACTATCATAACCTTCCAGGCCGAATTTCGATCACCGCGACCAGTCTCAATATACAGTGTGAGGAAACCCAGATGAACTCTCTGTACCCTGACTCTCATAATCTAATAATCCGATTATGATATGAAAAATTATGATATGACAATCCGAAATGACCCGGATGGAGGTCGCAGATCCATGTTGTACGTGTTTTTCCAGGTGAGGATGAAACACCTACAACTTTTTTCCCGATACCATCCACACCTTCTGGATGCTTGGCGATCCACCACTATACGTTTCACTAGGAGTTTTCTTCCACGTACGACCTCTCTGTGGAATAGTTTACCACCGGCGATTTTCCCGGACCGATACGACCTGAGTACCTTCAAGAAAAGAGTTTACTCCTTTCTAATGAGCTGGTAACGCAGCTGCAATTCCCCTGGTGGTGCGGATATTCATGGACGGCGGTAGTCACTAAACATCAGGTGAACCGTATGCTCGCTTGCCCTCTCTTCTATAAAAAAAACTTCCTCCTTCCAGTCTTCTTGACAGAAAATACCAACAACAGATTTTAATCTACTATACCTACCTGTATTACAGAAGCCAGTTTCAGTCGAAATACGTTTTAAATAACAATAATTAGAATTTTATTTGATTTAATATACATGACAATATTTTAACAATAACAATTGAGTTTGCAAAAGATCTGGCCTCGAATCCTATTGATTGACAAGTTCATTTATTATTTTTTCGGTAATCTAGACGTCCGAGACTAATTAACAAAATGTAACCAATCACATAATTAAGTTTATTTGCCATATCCATGGCAAGGAACGCATAAATGGATATCTTTTTCATGTCAATGAAACTGTATCTAATTACTAAAACAAGATTGGATATTTTTGTTTAAATGCGTAGTATATTCTCTCAATTTAAACATTACCCTGCTTAATAACGAGTGTAGCTTTATAGTTTACAAACAGCAATATAAAGCCTTCTTTGGGTATAACATTGAATGCCGGCGTTTGAAAACAGTCTGGTCCTCTATCCATCCGGAGCAAATTCCGAAGAATTGGTGATGAATATACCAGTGCGACGGCGCTGCTTCCCAACTTACTACCCTAGTGATATTGATACTCTATTCAGCATGTTTATACAATTATAAAGCGATACAACTGTCTTTACTTAGAAAATAATAGTCAGCTGCAAGACGTCTGGTACTAGTACCGCGTTCATCAATCCTCCTGCTATTGATACTCTATTCAGCATGTTTATACAATTATAAAGCGATACAACTGTCTTTATTTAGAAAATATTAGTCAGCTGCAAGACGTCTGGTACTAGTACCGCGTTCATCAATCCTCCTGCTATTGATACTATATTCAGCATGTTTATACAATTATAAAGCGATACAACTGTCTTTACTTAGAAACTAATAGTCAGCTGCAAGACGTCTGGTACTAGTACCGCGTTCATCCATCCTCCTGCTATTGATACTCTATTCAGCATGTTTATACAATTCTAAAGTGATACAACTGTCTTTACTTAGAAAATATTAGTCAGCTGCAAGACGTCTGGTACTAGTACCGCGTTCATCAATCCTCCTGCTATTGATACTCTATTCAGCATGTTTATACAATTATAAAGCGATACAACTGTCTTTACTTAGAAAATAATAGTCAGCTGCAAGACGTCTGGTACTAGTACCGCGTTCATCAATCCTCCTGCTATTGATACTCTATTCAGCATGTTTATACAATTATAAAGCGATACAACTGTCTTTACTTAGAAAATAATAGTCAGCTGCAAGACGTCTGGTACTAGTACCGCGTTCATCAATCCTCCTGCTATTGATACTCTATTCAGCATGTTTATACAATTATAAAGCGATACAACTGTCTTTACTTAGAAACTAATAGTCAGCTGCAAGACGTCTGGTACTAGTACCGCGTTCATCAATCCTCCTGCTATTGATACTCTATTCAGCATGTTTATACAATTATAAAGCGATACAACTGTCTTTACTTAGAAAATATTAGTCAGCTGCAAGACGTCTGGTACTAGTACCGCGTTCATCAATCCTCCTGCTATTGATACTCTATTCAGCATGTTTATACAATTATAAAGCGATACAACTGTCTTTACTTAGAAAATATTAGTCAGCTGCGAGACGTCTGGTACTAGTACCGCGTTCATCAATCCTCCTGCTATTGATACTCTATTCAGCATATTTATACAATTATAAAGCGATACAACTGTCTTTACTTAGAAAATAATAGTCAGCTGCAAGACGTCTGGTACTAGTACCGCGTTCATCAATCCTCCTGCTATTGATACTCTATTCAGCATGTTTATACAATTATAAAGCGATACAACTGTCTTTACTTAGAAAATATTAGTCAGCTGCAAGACGTCTGGTACTAGTACCGCGTTCATCAAGCCTCCTGCTATTGATACTCTATTCAGCATGTTTATACAATTATAAAGCGATACAACTGTCTTTACTTAGAAAATAATAGTCAGCTGCAAGACGTCTGGTACTAGTACCGCGTTCATCAATCCTCCTGCTATTGATACTCTATTCAGCATGTTTATACAATTATAAAGCGATACAACTGTCTTTACTTAGAAAATATTAGTCAGCTGCAAGACGTCTGGTACTAGTACCGCGTTCATCAATCCTCCTGCTATTGATACTCTATTCAGCATGTTTATACAATTATAAAGCGATACAACTGTCTTTACTTAGAAAATATTAGTCAGCTGCAAGACGTCTGGTACTAGTACCGCGTTCATCAATCCTCCTGCCATTGATACTCTATTCAGCATGTTTATACAATTATAAAGCGATACAACTCTCTTTACTAAGAAAATAATAGTCAGCTGCAAGACGTCTGGTACTAGTACCGCGTTCATCAATCCTCCTGCTATTGATACTCTATTCAGCATGTTTATACAATTATAAAGCGATACAACTGTCTTTACTTAGAAAATAATAGTCAGCTGCAAGACGTCTGGTACTAGTACCGCGTTCATCAATCCTCCTGCTATTGATACTCTACTCTAGCTTAGCAGCCATCCTGATGTAGACGTATAGGTGAGGTACGTGTGACATTTTACTAACGTACTATGTTGAAATGCGCATTTTATCAAAGCGACTGTATCTCGTTCATTACTCGTCGCACCGCGCCAACATTCTGAGTATTGAGTCCACTACAAGCGTTAGACAAGCAAAGAAATTGCATTGTTTTTTTTTTCTTGTGTTAAGTTCTAATACGAAATTATTTTTGCTATAAAATGAATCACTAATATTAAACAAACAACATAGTGATTAAAATTGTATATTACATTTTTATTGTATAAAAGTCAATTTATCACCATCAACGTTGATTTGTATCATGGGTGTAATAATTCTGTCATATTAGACAATATTATTTAGCCATTGGTCATAGCAGTTTTCTGATATAAATGTCTCGTAATGGAACAGATCTAAGTCCAAGAATAACAATCTACTGTTAGATGATAAAATTATGCAGACGAAGAGTTAGAAGACTTGAAAACGAAATCTTACTGTCAAGATATTTAACCATAAACATATACCAGGCAAATTGTCAAGCTTTAAATAAATAAATATGGTTTAGAAAGAAGAAAACGGTATTGCAATAATTGATTTAAGTCATGATGTTCAATTTCATTACCAAGAGATGTTAATTTGTTTCTTCCACATTTCCGGTTATCAGCTAAGACAAGAAGGTAGGGTCACTGACAGAACAAGAAGCTTTAAAGTAAATACGTGGGAATGTAACAGTTTATATATTGTTGGTACTACCTACGTCCGTGCCACTTGCATTCGCCGTGATGTGTGAAGTGGGTCAGGTACACAATCATATTAGCATTGTACTGCTTACGATTGTCCGTAAATGCTCATTCACTTAATGCATTTTACGGTATTAAATGTAAAGCTTGCCACTTTATTTTGTATGTTAAGTAATTTTACCTGTTATTGCCACTATGTTATTTTTACATTGCTTTTTCTTAA